GCTTTAAAATGATGTAAAATTTTTTCACCTTGGACTAGTATTTTTTACACAGTTTAATTTTCTGGTTTTAGAAGCTCCTAAAAATACGTTCAGCACAGTTAACATCTTGGAGTTGAGTCTTGTCTTGTAATAACGGATTGCCTTATGTTCTGACGCTATCTGTATTTTGTTCGGAACTGGTGCTGAACAATGACAGTAGACTTGCTAAGATGAAATTCAAGTATACAAAACACATTTTGCTATTGTGTCACCATTTTATGAAGGCACTGATTTTCTGCCCATTTTGTTTTCTCAGAAATGCTGCTGGCCTTCCAGTGTCATCTATTGGCAACTATTTAAAACTTCCTTATTTTACCTCTGCATGTATGTACATCTTTAATGAATACATTTATTACATTTTGCCCAGTGCACCTATGAAATTGGGGCATTCGTTTTGACTTATCAGTACATCACATACCATGCCTTCTGTGTAAACTTTCATTAGTGCCACTTGCATTAATTTTACTATTATGTAAGATATTTTCAGATCCCCAAACAGAAAAATTACTGGATTAAGGTATTGTAGCATATTGAACTAAATATTTAAATGCAAGTCTTTTAACTGAACACTGTTAAGAAAATGAAAATCTCTTGTTAGAGCTACTAGTAATTGGGTTTAGCTTAGCTGGAAATAAATTTGACCAAACTATATTTGCATCCTGTGATTTCATCATCATAAATTTTGCATATTATTGCTTATAATTGCTATCAACGGGTTTTCAAGCATGTCACCAAATCCAGCACATTTCAGATTGATTCTTGCTTTTAATGCCAATTCCAGACAGTTCAAGGTTTAGTAACGGTTTGGTAGATTCCACATATGTTTCATTTTCATTCCTTACTAACATTTTGCAAGTCAGCTTCGGTATTCATTTTAGTTATGTGACATTGAATGTATATGTCTGAAAACCAAGATTCCCCAGAAAACCAAACACCATTAATTAGAGCCTCAGCATTACTTAGCCCTCATGAGTTTATCAGAGGGGGTTGTCTTTCCCATTGCAAAAGTACCAATTGTTTAAATTAGCTTTTTCCTTGATCTCTAACACAACTTCTAACAAATTTTTTCCACTGGCTGGCAGGTCACTTGATCTAGTGGATGCAAATTTGGGAATTGGTCCAACAGCGGAAATATTGATTTCAGATACAAACCTAATCTTGCAGAAAGTAATGTTCCCAAAGGTTCAAGCCAAGGAATTGTTACCTTTTTTATTGGAGCTAAAGGGGATTTTGACATCATGAAACTTGTTTTACATTTACGCTACAGTGCCATAATACTTGAGGCTGGCATCAGAAAATGGTGAACTTCTAAAAATTTCCAACACAGATCACTGAAGTATTGCCTGGGAATTTCAAAAAATTTTATTTTTTTTCAACTTCTTTTAACCATTCCTGAAATATAAATTCTGTATCAAAGGGAACACTCTCGTCTCATTCAATGCCCTTTTCCCACATAGTTTGCATTAAGAGTTAAATTTGAACCGCAAACGGATTCAATGTGCTGGCCTCGCTAAGAATGAAGAGATGATGTCCTTACTTAAATGTAAGGCCCTTGCTACATTAACAGTCCCAGAAATTAAATCATGCGTGTAAAGCATTTTAACATACTGCATGCCTCTATGTAGGATTCTTCATATTTTTTAAATGCAGTCTAATTGTAGCTGTTAATAAAGCCCCGCTCACATGCAACGCTCTTTCGTGCAGCTATTGTTTGTATTAGGGAGAAACGGGGATACGAAGCAGTTTTGCCTTCAAGACTGGTTCAGATGCACATCATCTTCCATCCATCCTTTAACCATTAAGCCACTGGCAGCAGTGAATGATGTCACAAATGCGAATCGGATTGAAGGATTTCTAACGTTTGCTCACAACTTTTTTGGCATTGTTAACTATTGAAGCTGTCGAAGTTTTAACTCTTTAATTAATTAAAAGGCACCTAAATTAATTTAAAATGCAATTTATATACGAGACCAAATGGTTAAAAGAAGAAAAAAAATCACGTATACTGCTGAATGGTTTTAAATAAAATGTTTTCTGGCTTTTAAAATTTCAAACTTTGCTTTTTGAAAAAATGAATAAGACGACAAATTAATATTATTTACATTAATTATAAACATTTTAGAAAATATATTATAATTAATTCATGCATTAAAATTGTTTTGAATGTGTTTTACGATGTTTTTAAATAAAAGCTTGTAATTTATGTTCATATTAACCAATTGAATAGCACTAGGTTTTATTTTTTATATATATATGTATTTGAAATTCAGTAATAAATTTTCAGAAATTTGAAATGATTTAATGAAAATTTAGACCGTTTATATTCTTTAAAGTGCATTTTATCAGTTTGCATTTTTTTGATAAATCCTTTTATTTAATGTCCTAAAACCTTATATAGATATAGCCTAAATTATTTAATATTTTTACTGCTTATTTAAAATTATATACTTTATAGAAACAATGATGGGTTTTTCAAAATACTGAAAAGGAAATTTATTTGAAGTGAAAATGGGAATGAGATCATATTTGTTTCAAAGATTTTACATAAATATATGTTTTTATTTTTTCTCAGAAACTAATTCATTAATTGCAAAATTGATCCTTAAAGTTATTAAGAACTCTCTAATAAGTACAATAAGAAAATTTGGGGGAAAACATTGAAAACTGGGAGAGAAGACAACAGCAATATCGCAAAATGAGCATATCTTTAGAATTTCCAATATAGAGCCTCGTGCGCTGGAGATAAAAATGTTTTTTTTTCGTACAGTGTTGCCATTACTCGCGTTGAAATCGTTTAGTTTTTTAATCAAAAATTCGGTGAAATGTTAGAAAATATGAAATCGGTAATAAAGCAAGTTTCAAATTCTAATTAGGGCTTGCACATGCTCATATTCTATGAAAGATTACGTTATTCACATTTTAATAGCTGTAGGTACCGTTGTTTTATCACATTGCGAGAAACATACATACATTGTTTGTTTCTCGCAATACATAATACATGCAGATTCTACAGGCATACAAATATTCGTGCAGTTTCTACCATAATACAGATCTCTAATATTTGGCAGCAACAATTTGAAAGGTGAACAAACATTTATAGTGAACCAACCCAAAATGCCAAAATGAAATTAATACTTCTTCTGGACAAATTGCCCATTTGGACTAAAAAAATTTGAAAGCTTTTAGATTTTACATTACACCCAAAAGGGTGTTTTTTTAACATTTTGTGTGTTACCTTTATTTATTAAACATTATGTTCTTTGCAATTAACCCTAAAATTCAGTTCAATAGCAATATGGCAAAATAATTTTAAAATGAGCATATCTCTAGAATTTCTTATACACAGTCTCGCGCGCTGGAGATAAAGATGTTATTTTTCGTGAAGTGTTGCCATTGCTCGATTTGAAATCATTGAGTTTGTTAATCAAAAATTCCTGAAAGTTTTACAAAATATGGAGGAGTTAATAAAACAAATTCCAAATATGTGCTTCCAGATGCCCATATTCAGGTGGAAACACAAATTATTCAAAATTGGATGGCTCTAGGTACCATTGTTTTACTACAATGCGAGAAACATACATACATTTATGCAGAATTTTCGTTATTTAATTTCTTTAAATATAATACAAGGAGATAATATTTGATGGTAACAATTTGAAAAGTGATTCGCGGTTTATAGTTTTCAATGCAAAATGCTAAAACGAAATTAATGTTTCTTCAGGGCAAATTGCCCCTTTGGACTAATTTTTTTTCAGCTTAAAATCATCTTGTCTTACAAAACCATTTAATAATATTCAGGAAAAGTAGATGAAAGTACTTAATAAATAAAAAAAACATTAAAAAGGTACCTTGTCTTGTTGGGGATGATATGCGCGTCTTTAGTCTTAATTTGAACGGTATTTCTGCAATACTCAGCATCAGATAACCTTGTCCGTACTTGTTTACATATGTCCATATTTCGTACGGTTCCATCTAATTTTTTTCGACGATATCGCATTCCCAGATATATATCAACACGATTATTCCACTGGCAGTCCAGCGATTAGTCAGTTGCTCGTCAGCCATGTAGTGCAGTATGGGAAATCTCCCCATTTGCCCTGCTGCAGAGAGGTAGGAATATTCTACCAAGTTCTGCATCCAATTCGGTGAGGCAGTTAATGCTTGTTTGCCATGTGATTGGGACACATTGGAAGAACTGGTTTTCGCTACCGGCCGAATTTGCTTTTGTAAACGGGGCTTAATTGAGGCAAGCATTTGATCCCAAAATTGGCTTGATTGTGTTGAAGAATGTACATAGTTTATATTTCAGACAGTGAAGAAGGAGGCAAGATACATGGTTTATTCAGGCTAGCATGTAAGAAAAGGGAAGAAAATGTTTACTCACTTTGGTCTTATTAAGAGTGGGGAAAGCCATTGTGTTAATCCAACTGGGCTAAAGATGTTGCAGTGCACAGAGGTTGCAGGGAAAAAGTGATGTAACATGCAGGAGAATGACATAGTGAAGTGTTATGCTTTGAAACGGGGATATGTTTAATTAAAATTTATGAATTTAGAGATGTATTACCAATTGACTGCAAATAAGTTTAGTAATTTTATTTCTGGTTTTATATTTTACATCTACATATATGTATGCTGTGTCATTGCACAAGTGTTCGTGATGCAATATAAATATATTACCACACATGGTGCTTTACCAACTGGCACCTTGTTAACAGAAAAGTGGCTTTGCATTTTAACATTCATCTCAGGTTTCTTGTTTTATTAATAGTCTCATTTTATTAGCTGTAAAAATGTTTGTAGCTTAGTGTTAGTGATATGTATATAATTATTAAAAAAAAAAAAAAGAAAGAAAAGGGAAAGCTTGTATTTTTATAAATGAAACAATTTTTACTAGGGAATTTAATGTTAAATGTTTTTTGATAAAATACTAATATTATTTTGTTGTTCATATAATGTTTTAGATATTTGAATACTTGGACAAACATGTTGTTGGACAAGATTATGCAAAGAAAGTTCTTTCTGTTGCTGTTTATAACCATTATAAAAGAATATATAATAATATGCCTCATACAAGCTCTGTAACTAGACATGATGTTGCTATTTCTGAAAATCAAGCCCCAAGTTTTAATATTAGAGGTGAATTTAATTATTTATATTTGATTTCAGTTTAAATTGTAAAATTTTGGTCAAAAGACATTTTCTGCCCTGTCTTTTTAATCTAAATTGTAAATGTGTGTATTTTTTTTTTCATTTAGATCCCCTACACATTTCTGGAATATCACAGCAAAGTCCACTTGGAGTATCAAATTTCCAACAGCAACAAATTAGTCAAGATAGTGATATTAAAAGTAACAGAGGATCTGATATACTGGATGCTCAAACTCATGATTTAAGGCTAGAAAAGAGCAATATTCTTCTTTTAGGACCTACAGGATCAGGTGAATATATTTTTAATCATTTATAGTCCATAGTTTTGTATCATGAAGGAAAATTTTACTTCATTTACTTTCCTAATTTTCTTGCTTTTGATATCAGAAAATTCAGGAGTCTGTCCAAATTTTTGGTTCACTAAGTTTCATTATATTGTTATACTATTTATCATCTATGCAGCTTGGCAGTTGTTGCATTGTGTGAAACATAAGGTCTTTAATTTGTCTTCCATACAGCTTGGCAAATAATTAAGCATTTTTTAGCATGTTGCCATTTAATATAACATAAGAGTTTTAATTTATTTGTCCATTGATAATTGAATCATATAATAAACAGATTGATTTAAAAACAAAAATGCCTATGTCAGTAATGTAAATCTTTAATTTATTTTAATGGTATAGGTAATTGATGTAATTTAAAATATGTTAAACTTTGTAATGCACCCAACTGCTAATTTTTATGAACATTTGTAGCACTGTTGTAGTTATTAAGGCCCACATTATGTGCTTCCGTACAGAGTTCTTTAGCTTTGTTTTCACAGATAATGATATTCTGTAGATATTTCACAGATAATGATATTTTTGTTCTTGGATTCGAAATGCAAAATTTACACTTTTTTATGTTTGTTTATAATTGCTTCTTTGATTAAAACATCTTGGAAAGATCAGTAGTTCGATCTGAAATAGAGGCATCTGATACTTTTTGACAGCCTGCTTTTTTTACTTTTTTTTTTCTATAGCCAAAACCTGTATATTCGGTGTTATGTATATATTCTTTTGGCCTTTTCTGTCCAATTTATGAAATAAGGAAATCATCTTTTAATACATTTGTATATGTAGAGTTTTAAATTCTTCAGCATATTGTATAGTATATATGTAGTGTGTCATTTAAATTTTTCGTAACTAGAATGTTGTTGCTAGTTAGAAAAAAAGATTGTATTTTCGTTTTTATAACTTGTCAAACAAATAAGGGATGTCATTCTATAGAATAGTTGAGAGAACACCTTTACACACAGTAACAAGGTATTTTAATTTTTTAATGCAAGTTTTCTTTTGGGTAGGAAGTTTAGCTCCCATGGTTTGTCTAAAGTACCAGAGTACCATTATGCTTTTCCATAGGAGATTGCTTATTTACCTTTTTGGTGATGTGATTGAGAAGCTGAGACATAATCAAAATAATTACCTCAAATGTCATCTTGACTTTTGACCACTCTAATAGCCAATTAAAACTGGTATGACTATATGCTATTTATTTTTAGTATTTATGAAAAGCATGTAATTTGAAGTGTTTAGTAAATTTCTAATATTGATAATAAATTTTAGTTATATATATAACATGTAAAGAAATATTTAATAGTTTAATAATTTTATTTTCAGGAAAAACTCTACTGGCTCAGACAATAGCTCGATGTTTAGACGTGCCTTTTGCTATTTGTGACTGCACGACGTTGACGCAGGCTGGTTATGTTGGTGAAGATATTGAGTCTGTAATTGCAAAATTGCTTCAGGATGCTAATTATAACATAGATAAGGCTCAGCAAGGTATGCTGAGTTAATGTTTCCTTAATATTACTGTAATTTGTTATCTTGTTTATTGGTAATATACCAGTTTTCTTTAGCATGCAACTGCATTTCTTTAAGTATGTTATTTGGAGTCATGGGATTCCTATGATGGTTTTAGTATTTTATGAAAGTTTAGATACTTTTTGTAATGTACAATTTAAACAATAATGTTATGCATTTTAATATGATTAGAATATGTGTCTTATCCATTGGCACATATTCTAAGCATATTACATAGTAATACATAGTAATATTCACATACTTTTATGAGATATCTTCATTACTACTTCCTTGTAACTTGAATCTTGCTCATTCATATTTTTTTCTCCGATATTCCTTAGGCCTCAAATCATCCATAATTAGAGAAGGTCAGTGTGCAGATGACTTTGTGAAAAATAGACTAAATGTCAGTTTGCATTTGCTTTGCTGTGATTGGTTGGTTCTTTTATTATGACTTAATGTTATTACTCTATTTTTAACTTAGAAAAGTTAAAAATAGAGTAAATGTCAGTTTGTGTTTGCTTTGCTGTGATTGGTTGGTTCTTTTATTAGGCTGGCATAAAGTCACCGCTTAGAAAAGAAAAGTTTGGCGTGACCTTAGCAGATAGTTTTGGAGGATTTTGTTATTAAGAGGAACAAATTCATAACATAGATAAATCCATTCTAAAATTTAGGGGAGCTCATTCTATAAATATATTCAGAAAGAGAAAAATTTCATATTTCCAGAATCTGGTGCTAAAAAACTGGTAGGAAATACATGAAGCAATACTGTTAACATAAGATGTGAAAGGCAGTCACTATTCATTATATTAATGCAATTTTTTTACAAACATTTATTCATAAAATATCCTTTTTTTAAATTAATAATTAGCTTTGAACAGTGATGTTTTACATAAGTTCAAATATATTTATTGCTTCTAAATTATAAAGGAATAGTTTAACAATATATACATATATATGTTACTATGAGATTACTGGACGCTATGAGACTGTGCGTATGTAAATAATTTTATAACGGATAAGTTAATCTCTTCCTATCTTTTCCAACTTTGGCATTAGTTTTAATATTCTCTAAAACTTTTTTACAATGTCTTGCTTTTCATAGTGCATTCAGAAATGATTTAAATTTATTCCCATAATAACCTGCGGTAAACAGTTCTCCATATAATAACACTATCACAGAATGAAATAATTATATTTGTTTTTGGAAGCCTTAATAATGTAACATGGAAATACCGTTGTACTTCGCATTTAAATTATAGAGGTCAGTCCTTTAAACAAAGAAAAGCATTTTACTTTATTAAAAGATGTATAGTTAAAAATTTTAATGGATAATGATTTGATACTAGTTTTATTAATACTAGACACTTCTAAAAAATTCCTATTCTCTGATGTAAATGAGTTCAAGTCCCACACCTTTTTTCTTAGTCATATTTACTATAAATGCATCATTTCGCTGCATTCTCATATTTTCAATGCTTAATGTATCATGTTTCTTCCACAGAAGGAAAGGGAGAAGGCAGTTTGATATCTCTTGTTCTTGTTGACTGATCAACAAAATATAAATTGCATTTTCTTTTTTTTTAATGTTTCAAAGGAATGACAGATGTATTTTGCTTATTTTATATACAGCATTGTGATAATGTGCCTTTTTTGTAATAAAATTAAGACTTTCTCTTTTTTTTTTTTTTTTTTTTTAATTTGAATAGCATGCTTTTTTTTTCCTTAACCTCTCTATAGATGAATTTTATACATTTTTTTTTTAAATGGATACCCCCCTTTTTTTTAATTGTACAAGCAGTTTTGCAGTTATTTCCTTTTAAGTTTGAATCTAATTTTTACTTCATGACAATTTCACTAGTAAAATTTCTAATTTATGTTAATTCTGGCCATTTTTGTGTTCTTCAGTTAACAAGTTCATGATGAACTCTTAATTCTAATTTAATAATTTTCCATTTTAATCATAATATTGCCATTTTATAAGAAAGAGGAAGAAAGAAGAATTTTTAATAGGAAGAAATGCTTAAAAAAAAAAAAAAAAAATTGAACATTTTAAAAATAGCTATGATGCATGAGAAATGCATTTCTTTGACAAAAGAAAATCCTTTAAAGTATACCATATTGTACCAGGATCATATACCATATTAACCCTTCAAATGTTTTGATTGCTTTTATCCAGTCATCGAATTTGTTGTCATCACCTGGTTATATAAAATGTTTTCTTTACTGATCTAGATATAATTTACCCCCCCCCAAATGGCAAGCTGTCAGTCAACTTCGGCTTGGCCACAACTAAGGCTAGAAGTGATGACCACTATTATGGAGGTACCTAATAGGTGGGCCGCCTTTGTCTTTTACAGAGGGACAAACATTTAAATCATGCCTTCTCCGGAATTTGAACCCGGGCCTTTTAGTATTGCAGCCGGCTCTTCTGGCCACTATACCATCTGGGCGGCAGATATAATTTTGAGGAACAAAAGTTTCAAAAGCAAAGAATAATATATTATTATCTAAACCTGGCAAATAGGTGTTTAAGTATAACTATGTATGAATGTATCCAAGAACCTTGGCAGCTCAGAGAGCTAAAATCAAGAATTTGAATTTAATATCTAAAAAATGTGTGTCAGCAAATCAAAATCATGAAAAATAATATGTTAAAGTAGCTACAAAATAAGTGAGAATAACTTCACATTTTCTTAAACAGAATTATTCATGAACAGAAGTTCATTCATAAACTATGGAAGTTATTAACTCTCTTAATTATAGATATATAGCATGATGAAATGTAAGGCATTAACACATGTAAAAAAAGAGAGGAAGGGGTCTAGAAATTTTAAAGTTCCTTCATTTATAATTTGCAATATGTCAAAAAAATATATATTGCCAAGATCACATACTATTTGTTTACTTGTTTGTTTTGTATTTATCGTGGCATTAGGTGGCGGGAAAAAGTGTCTAAAATTTATAAAGTTTATCATTTTTTATTTTGGAGAAAAAGAAATAGAAATTAATAATTCACATATTATTTTTGTTTTATTAATAAAAAACAATATTAAAAAATAAGCACTCATCATCTAAAAATGCATTTATATAATTTCACATGACATATTAGAAATATTAGTCAGTAATGCTGTGAAGCAAACAACCTTTTGGATCTTTGCCCAGAATTCTCAAAATTTTAAGGTTGACTGTCTTTAAAGTTGTGACAAATAAATGTTGTATGTTTAATAAAATGTTTTATTAGTAATTTTTTAATAATTTTTTTTTTAGTTTTGAATATGTTGTATAGAATTTTTTTTAAATTAATGATTATAATATATACAAAATTCTCATCTTAAAGGTATTGTTTTTCTTGATGAGGTTGATAAGATTGGAGCAGTTCCTGGTATCCATCAGTTACGAGATGTAGGTGGAGAAGGTGTTCAGCAGGTAAATAAAACTTTTAAGGAATTTCTTGAAGAATAAAATTTGTTTTTCAAATTAATATATATATATATATATATATATATTGATTATATTATCTCCTAATATTAATTTTAGTAGAAGTATCTAAAAGAGTGAACCCATAGGTTGGAAATTTAATTCCGAAAATTCTTTTAAAGTAACTTGAATGTAATTTGTAAAGAATGTTTTACGGGGATTTGAAGTAAATCATGAATAACAAAATTTAAGACTTTGAAAAAGAAATTAAATTAAAAGCAAGTAATTATTGCTATTGATCGGAAATTAGTTGACTTTTCAAGGGGAACAAACCAATTCCCGTTCAATGAACAATAATTAATAAATATGATGGTGTTCTGTCTTTTATTCAAGTAATAATGGTGATGCCAAATTGACAGATTATGTTAGGCCAAATAGTTTCGTGAAAGGAAGGTATTTAGAACCAAAGTAGAGTACTATATATGTATATATACAAAGTAAGAAATTTAGAACCAAATTTTCACAAAGACCAAAAATTGAAATTCATAAGTAATAAATTTCATAAAATTCTATAAATGTTAAGACTAAAATACTTCAAACAAGTAATATTCTAATAGGGAAAAAGTCATCGAAATTTAAAGATTAAAAAAGAACAGGAATTCAATCAACTTCAATGCCACTTCATCAGGAAAAGGAACATTGAAATCAATTGAATTTTCTCTTCCATAAAAAAATTCTTGCTTTTCTGTATCCAGAATTAGCCGATGAATCATTCCAGTGTATTTTAATTATAATAGTGTGAGTATATAAGTGAAATTATAAAACTTTCACACTTATGTTTTCAATTCTTTTGATAAGTTCTCTTTATTTAGAAATAAAATTTTGATTTGAATTTTTCATTGTAGTATTTTATTATTTCACTTATGTTTGCAATTCTTTGAAGAGAGTTCTCTTTGTTTAAAGGTAAAAATTTGATTAGAATTTATTTTGTTTTTTCCTTTGGAGAGGGGCCAGAATTTTCGAGTGAACTATTATAATTAAAACATATTGGAATGGTTCATCGGCTAATTCTGGATATAGAAAAGCAAGGATTTTTTATGGAAGAGAGAATTCAATTGATTTTAATATTCCTCCTTCTAACGAGATGGCAATAAAGTTGATTTAATTCCTTTTCTTTTTTATTCTTTATTTAAATTTTATTGATTTTTTGAATTAGGGTATTACTGTTTGAAGTATTTTAGATTTAAAATTTATTTAATTCTTTTTTACATTATAGGATTTTATGAAATTTATTACTTATGAATTTCAATTTTTGGTCTTTGCGAAGAATTGGTTCTAAATTTCTTACTTTATGTCTTTACTGATATATATATATATATATATGTAAGATAAAAAATATGTAAAGCAAAATTAACCCCATAATTTCCCCTCTTTATTCTAAAAATTATAACTTTTCTGGACTGCATCATTTCTAGATCAGTCCATCTTGTATGGCTTACTTAATGCTGATAACGTAACTGATTCGGAACCTAAACTCACAAATTTCAAGAACTGAAATCTTTCTAACCTAAACCGAAACCTCTTCTTGGTGAATCTCCGTATTGTATAATTGCACACATTTTAGATTCAAATCTCCTGCAGTGAAGATGCTTTTTCAATCCATTTGCTTTGTTGTGCTACTAATTATGTCATTATCTAAAATGCTATATACTCTATATAAAATTGTGGGATGCGTATTGTGCCCATGGTCATGTGTGATGAAAAATATTGTTGTGTTCATGTGGATTTGGAGTGAATAACGACGACACTACTTGATGAAGTATCAAAACACGCTTTATTTAGACAATATTAATCAGAGCACCTCCAAAATCACTTTTACAGTCGTCGAACTATTATAAGCGCAGTGACATGTTCAGTGACACAGCCTTCACACCGTCAGGTAATAACGGTGGAGACAGCTTCCTGCAAATCACCAGAGTACAGCCTTTGACTTTGCTCGGTCATTTTCGGAACTCCACGTACTCTCGAGACTCTCCACGATACAACTCGCGATGCACTCGACGACACATGAGTCCAGCTCCCGACTCTTTGGTTCAGTCATTCCCAGAGCTCAACACGCTCTCTCGATGATGCACTAACCGCGAAACACTAAGTAACTTCTTCGGTGAACAAGACAACCCACTCGTCATTCGCTGCCCGGCTGTCAACTCGATCGACTCCGCAGGAATTGACTCGCTAGACGAGACACCAACTCGATACACCCACTCGCCCTCTCGACGAGGCACACTCTGAGACACTAATTGACTGCGGAACAGCAGGGTTTATATAGCTTTCAGCTTGTGTTAGAGAACATTCTGGGCTAAACTGGTAAGAATTCTTTCCAGAAGATTCTCCATCCGTTCATGGTATATCGCCAATTCTGTCGCCAAAATGGGCGATTTCTCTCCAAATTTGGCAACCCTGCATTCCCTTGCAACTTTATGGCAACCCTAAAACTGCTTTGCGGGGAGCTATCGCACCTGTACATTTCGTAACACTGCCCCCTCCCAAGGACTGCATGTCCCGGGGAGTACAACTCTTGGTCAGAAACCAAATTCGATACAAACAAAACATAATAAAACAAACAAGTAACATAACTAAAGAAATAAATATTTACACTATTTGCAAGTTAGATACACAAATTAAACACATCACAATTTTAAATTATACAAATTAAAGTTAAGAATAAATTTTAGTCTCAGTCTTTTCATTAAAATATACCCGGGTCAACTACTTTTCCACTGCAGTTCTCAGATGTATTTCTGTTTTGCATATCACAGTCCGAAGATTCAGTTCTTTCAGGCTTTTCATCCACAGGCAAATCTAAAACAATTCGTACACCACTCTGTAGATCATTTGCAGCATGCATTTAGTTCACCTCGGTATCATTAGCAGATCGTACATGCTTATTTACTTCTATTTCCTGAAAACCAGTTCCGATGTTTGCACCAGGGTCATGAATAGAATCCGATCCTTTACAAGCAGAAGTATCCAAGTTTAGAATCAAGTCCTTGTCTGCAAAATCTGCACTATGAGGCATACACCCAGTTTGTGAGGTGGGTGAATTTTCTTGGAATATTGGAGTGCACTGCTTAAGCTGCACATTCTCTTTTATTTCTGCATCACATGCATTTTCAGATGGTTCAATACTCGCTAACTGCGACTTCATAACTTCACTATCAGTTTTGACGAACTTAACAGTCGCATTTTCATTTTCTTCCACTTCAGGCACTTGAGAATCAAAAGCTTCTTTCCCGTCTTTTATTTCTTCATGTTTTCATTCTTTTCCTTTAATCCCGTTAAATGTTTCAATCCTTCATTTCTTGATCTTCCTCAGACAGTTCATTAGCTACTTCCTTCATTTCTTCATCCTTTGATACTTCAGACATTTCCACATCATCTTTTATGGCTCTAGTTTCTTCTGTAAGCTCCACTTTCATCTGTGGGAGTTGCTTTTGCACCTATTCATGGCCGACATTTATTTCTTTTTGTCTGGCGTTCTTCTCTTCCAGTGTGACTTTCATCTCCTTCAGTCCGGCTTTGATCTCTTCCAGGCCGGCTTTCAACTCAGCCTTCATCTCTTGATATCCAGCTTTCATTTCAGCTCTCATCTCTTGATATCTGGCAATTATCTCTTCCTGTCTGGCTTTCATCTCAGCCCTCATCTCGGCTAAGAAGTTCATCAACGTCTTCGTTTCCTCCATGGCTTTTTTTTCTTCAGGCGGGTCACTGACATTCATTCACAGTCCACTTTTGTGGGTGTGGGTTCGAATCCCACTTCTGAAACCAATTGTTGCAATTTTTCTTTTCTGATACCAGTTGTTACGTTATTTTCTTCCTTCATGGTCGTACGGGGTTCATAGATTTGGAGTGAATAACGACGACACTACTTGATGAAGTATCGAAACACGCTTTATTTAGACAATATTAATCAGGACAGCTTCAAAATCACTTTTACAGTCTTCGAACTATTATAAACACACTGATACGTTCAGCGACACAGCCTTCACACTGTCAGGCAATAACAGGGGAGACAGCTTCCTGCAAAGCACCAGAGTACAGCTCCTGACTCTGCTCGGTGGTTTTCGGAACTCCATGTACTCTCGAGACTCTCCACAATACAACTCGCGATGCACTCGACGACACACGAGTCCAGCTCCCGACTCTTCGGTTCAGTCATTCCCGAAGCTCAACATGCTCTCTCGACGATGCACTAACCCCGAAACACTAAGAGATTCCTTTGGTGAACTAGACGACCCACTCGGCACTCGCTGCCCGGCTGTCAACTCGATCGACTCCACAGAGATTGACTCGCTAGATGAGACACCAATTCAATACACACTCTTGCCCTCTCGACGAGGCACACCCACTCGCCCTCTCGATGAGGCACACTCTGAGACACTAACGGACTGCGGACCAGCAGGATTTAGCTTTTGGCTTGTGTTCGAGAAAATTCTGGGCTAAACCGATAAGAATTCGTTCCAGAAGGTTCTCCATCCATCCATCGTATATCGCCAAATGGTAAATCCTGCCTTCCTTTGCCACTTTATGGCAACCTTAAAACTGCTTTGCAGAGAAGCCATCCTACCGCGCCTGTACATTTCGTAAGAATATGGTTTTGATAATTAGTTTGTATCCACTAATAAAAGTGGTGTTTAATTTGGCCATATTTGTCTACAAGTCTTTCCATCAACTGTCATCTATTTACGCAGTAAAGTCTCCCCAGGATATGATACAGAGAACCATTGCCAGTCTGTTACAGCTTACTCCAAGTCATCTTATTACATGTATGCTAGACAGTCAAAAGTCGTTAATTCGGACACCCATAATCCGGAATGATCTATAATCAGGACCTTAAGGCTACAAAATTTTTGCGCATGCGTCTAGTTGACGCGCGTAAGACCTTTACGGCTGCGAATATGAGTGTGCGCGTGTGCAAAATACGTTTACGAATGCGCGTTTAATGTATA